AACGGTTTTGTCAATTGGATTATTGTTGGAGATAATTGTAGGACTGGGAATAGCTTTTGGGGGATTAACAGTAGGAATGATTACGGGTCCAGAAACTGCTTTTGGGGGAGCAATTTCTAAAGAAAAGATCCTACCACTTCGGGTAATTTTGCTAGTTCCTGCAATATTACTGATGTCGGAGTTGACCTTCTCAGAGCTTGAATCTTCGGCGGCTGTCCAGTCCTGCTTGATACCATGGTAATAGACATCCCCTCCATAATTCCATGGCACGGTTTTGTCTGACGCATATGGGACTGGTCCAGGCATTGTGATTATTAAAGGAGTTGCTTTCGGAACTGATGTAATTCTAACGGGTCTTTTGGTGGAGACCCTGGAAGAATTGGCGGAAATGGTAATGATAGAAACATCTTCAAAAGGGATAGGTGGAACAGGAGTCTTTTCGAACAAAATCTCTTTGTTATCTATTAGGCACTGAACGCCTATTTTCAACAAAGGACAGACGGTTGGGGAGGACAAACAGAGATGGCAAACTTCACCACAGCCCGAGAACACACCGGCATTCAACAAATTCATTTTAATAGTCAAAAGTGGGGTCATGAGTTCATCAATTGAAGTAACAAACAATCCTTCTTATACGACATTGGTATTGTGGCCATGTCTGGGCATAGGGGCAGAAATGACATTTGGCTTTTCAGGCGCATCGAACTCAATTTCTTTTGCTTCAATGAGATCTTGTATTTTGTTCTTTAGAGCCCAACAATTATTAGTATCGTGACCAGGACTTTCAGAGTGATATGCGCAACAGGCATTGGGATGATAATGAGGAGATGTTGTATTGGGGTTTTTCGGAGCTTCTTTCAAGGTCACCAAGTTGGATCTTAGTAGATGCGGTAATACTTGAGACGGGGTCATGTTGATTATGGTGAACTGCCTGACTGGCCTTTCCATCCTTGGTTGATTATTTCTTTGCTGATCAGACGCAAGCTTAGGAATCATAACAGGCCCCCCCATTGGTCGGCGTTCGGCCCTATCTTGGTTTCTTTGCGGATATACAGAAGCCACCTATTTCTTCCCAATGAAAGGCTTCCTTACAGCCGTAGAAGAAGATGTATCTTTCTGAATCTTTCCATTCTTTATACCGGCTTCTATCCTCTCTTCGGTCAATATTAGTTCAATAAAGCCTGCAGATGAACTTCTGATTAAATGATTGAAGAAGGGACCATATAAGGTGCCCAAGAACATGTCTACCAATTCTCTCTCAAATAGAGGGGGTTGAACTCTTCCAGCCAAGTCTCTCTATTTTTGCGCGTAGTCCTTGAAATCTTCATTGGAAACCATGGCCATACTCTGGAGTTGAGTACGGGTAGGCGCTAGATCAGCATTGTACTGATATTATTTGTAGAAAGTTGCAGCAAGATCTTCCCAATTGTGAATGTTGGCTCTTTCTAGTTGGTAAAACCAGTCAAGTTGATTTCCAGACAGACTGTCTTGGAAGAAATGTACCCATAAGTCTTTATCAGCGGTATGGGGCTGGATTTTCCTTACATATGAACGGAGATGCATTTTAGGGCATGAAACTCCATCATATTTGGCGAATATAGGTGCTTTGAATTTCGGAGGAATCACAATCCCCCGACACTAAACCCAATTCCTCAAAGTCCAAGCCTGGCACTTTTTGGATTTCCATTGCGCTCAATCGCTCTTCGAGGTGTTTATACTTGTCATCCGCTGGAGGGTATTGTTCTTCAGAGTAGTCCTCTTCTTCCTCTTCCTCCTCCGATTCTGACAGGACAATTGTTTCCTTGCCTTTACCATCTTGGTTGTCTCTTTCACCGGATGTTACTGCAAAGTCCAAATTCCTTCTTGTCTGCCCATGAAATCTTCTTCCCATGTTTAAGACTCCAGTCACCTTCTTTGTTTTATTTTTTCTCTCTTCAGCCAGCAAAGTCTTCAATTATTTTTGTCCCTTAGCTAGGGTCAAAAGCAACTGTTGAAACTGTGTATTCTGAGCTTGGAGATCCTTCACTATTTTCTCAATATCCATCTTACTGAAATAAACAGTAGAGAGATGAGGAGACTTGTTGCAAAAGACTTGCTTATTTTATGATGAATGGTATATGCATATGTAATGTTTTCAAGGATTTCAAAGATTCAAATTTGTTTTAGACAAAAAGGGAACACACGTTATATTAATAAGGTAAAGTTTGAGTACATCAATGCCCCTTTGGAAAAATAATACTAAAACTCTAAGATAGAAAAGTAGTACACATCCTCTTTGGTGCAATGTAGGCATTCAGAGTCTGCTCCTCATGAAGTAGCCTAGTGAGCTCTAAAACCTTCTTCTCGCTTGCGTAGAATTGGGCTTCGAAAGTATATCACTCTCCTTTGATTTGTATCTAATCCCTTTGTAGGTCTTCAAGAGATGTGGGCATGTCAGGATATAGGATAGTGTATGGAACATCTCCCTCCATGACAGGCTCAATGGTTACCGGAAGGATGGAGGGGTAAGGCATCATAAGACTCTGAGCACGAGTTCGTACCCATTTGAGGTAAGGCTCAAGAGGGATGGAATTCTTGTGCCCTAAAGTCTTGCTATCCACCTTGTTCAACATCCTCAAAGCTCAGATAAATCTCTGGCGAAGACCTTGATCGTTGTTGTCGTAGTCAAATACCAAACCTTGAATCAGCATCTCATGTGGGCCATCCCTTCGGGCATAACCAAACTGTCTTAAGGACAAAAAAGTGTTGTAGGTGATACCTCCCCTAATTCCAAGTAAAGGGACATTAGGAAATTCTCCACAACGGTCGACAATGATAACATTCTCTTTGGATCGGGAGCACCAATGAATGTCTGAATGTTTGAGCGTCATCAACCTTTGTGACCACCTTGAACCTTGCTTATTTTTTAATACAGACTGGGGAAGATGAGAAATAAACCATCTTCCCAAGATAGGAGTGCAACACATGAGGACACCTCTTTTCCTCATTGTGCGAGTGTGAAAAGAGTGTAGGATATCTCCTAGCAATATAGGCACTGGGTTGCAGGATATGAAGATTTTGACGGCGTTGATTGAAGGAAAATTGCGATCAAAAGCACAGCGGAATTTAAAATTTTCCTTTAGCGATCCTTACGAATGAACATGGTCAGTGATAGAAATATTTACCTCTTATGGCGATTCAGACCTTTGATGTTATGATCACGAGCGTTGATGAAGAACAGCGCCTCTACTCAGTCCACACGAACAGATCGCTTCCGGTCACAGTGCTAGCTGATCACGAACGGAAACCTTGAGTGAGAGAGAGAATCAAAAACGAAATTGCATCAAGTGAAATTGCTTCATCACAAGGGATCTATTTATAGAATCACTCGTGTGGGCTACAAGCTAAAAGCCCAATTAAGGCTATAAGCTAAAATCCCAATTAAACTTATGGACATCATACCTTATGATGTACCATATATCACTTATCCACGTGGTACCTGAAACAACCGGCTGAAAATCATCAAACAATGAAGTTGCCATCGAACGTCTTTTATCCCACATGTAGGGAAAGGTAAACATCGAGAAAACCTGAGAAGGGAGAAGTCACGGTCTTGCGACCGAGAGATCGGGTAAGGGAGTCTGTTACACGAGGGGAAGGTATTAGCACCCCACACGCCCGTAGTACTCTATGGTATCCACTCTTGTTATCTATCTTATGGGTGTGTTTAATCTATGCTTACTGTTTTATTACTGCTAAAGGGAATGCATGCAAAAGAAAGAGAAAAGAATGTAGGGAAAATAAAATTGTGCTCGCATGGGCCCTACCCCAATGCCTACGTATCCTTTTTGAGGAATCAGAGCTACCGTAGTTTGGCTCATATGTTTTTATTTGTTTGTGTTTTTTATGGACGAAGTTAATTCCGCCTTCTGCCGCAGCTCGACCTTTGGAGACTTATGCATTGGCGCAGAAGTAAATTAATCATGTCCTTACCTGAAAAGGGTTTTTTAGAGAAAAGTGCTCGAGCGCACAAAATATTTGAATTGGTTTATATTTTGTCTTTTTGTTGTAGATGATGACTGATTGACCTCAAGAGAGAGATATTAGCCATTTTTCTACTTAGCTATGAAAGGAGTTTTTGAGAATTGAACCACACCTATGCTTGAGATGAAGAACAATAAGATCGAGAAGAGACCCGCTTATCATTTCCCGTACTAAGCAAAAGCATGATTCGAATCAATAGTTTTAAAGTATTTTGAATTTTGAAAGAAAAAGAAGTTTTTGTTTTAAGTGCGAATGCAAAAGGGAAAGAAAAGTCAGAAGGAGACTAGCTTACTTCTAAACCTAATGTTATTATGTATTGTTAGACCTAAAGTTAGAATTTTGAGGGAATTCTACTTAATGTTAGCACGCGTATGGATTGCGATAAAGTACGAAAATGAAGAATAAAATAGATTTGTGACGATACCGAACGGAGGAGGTCCGTTGCCTCTTCGACGCCACGCAAGTGATAAGAAAATTCTACCAAAGTTCCCTTGGGCAAGTGATTGAAGAATTCACCCCGAGCATTCCACATTGCAAGAGTTATGTCGATACCACAAAAATCTTGACTAGAAAATGGCAATAAAAATGATCATCGAATATGAAAAATAAAATAGAAAAAATTCTAATCGAAATTCTAAAAAGAAATTCTAAAGAATTCTAAAATATCCTATTGTTTTGTATCATTTTATTATCAATTGAGAGAAAAATTAAACTAGAAAAAAAACTAAAATAATAAAAAAGGAAAAATTAGAAGAGTCAGGGGGTACAAGCTGAATTCAGGGTATGCTACAAGCAAAAATTAAAATGGTACCAGGCCCAACAAGAGTGAGTCCAATAAGCATTTTTAACATTTTATTTATTATTTACTTAGTTATAATTATTATTAATTTAAAATAAAAAATATAAAATCATAAAACAATTAAACTAAATGAAAGAAAGCATATTAAATTGGAAAAGGGTTAGGGTTAGAGGAAAAAATGTTTCGTCCTTCTTCTCAAACAGAACAGCGGCGGCGCCTCCGCCTTTGGCTCATACTTCGAGTAAACGGTTTTGGCCAATCCAAAAGCCGATTCAACCACTCCGGCACGGCGGACTTCGGTCACAACAGATCTAGCTTGAGTCGAAACCTTCTTGACGTTGGTAGGAACATGACGATCCAGTTCAGAAACGGATTCATCGACCTTGCGATCGACGTATTTGAGAAGCTTCACGGGGACTTGGTGGAATTTGTCGTAGACTGGACCGATGACGGTTTTCACGGCTTCTTCAACGGTGTCGACGCCGGTTTTGAGTGGACCGGATCGTTCTTCTTCCTTTTGTTTAAATCACAACTCGTAAACCTTCTTCCCATCCCCAATTCTTCTGCATTTGCATTTTGCTGTTGTTCTTGTGCGAGTTGTTGTGATGTTGCTATTCTTGCAAACTCAGCGGCGTGTTGATGATTGGAACTTGATGCTAAGAATTTGTTGTTGCTGATTTTGTTGCAGATCGAGCATTGATGGTGATACAAAGGTGATGGTGTTGCTGATGCAAAGAATAATGTTGAAGACACGCGTAAGATGCGTTATGTCGACACTGAATCGTGATGACGAGGCTATCATGCGAGGAGTGGAAAGCAAGATGTAGCTCTGGTTTTTTGTTGCAGATTGAAGTTACTGAACATTGATGATGAAGATGATGCATGAATATTGGGGCGATGAAGATGAAGTTGTGGTTCAAAGAGAACGATGAAGGTTGATGAAGCGGATGGAAATGGAAGATTGATGAAGTCGATTGGTTGGTTCTGAGAATTTGTGGTGAGTTCTTTTCTTAATGTAAAATAAATCGTCCCTATTTTTCTGACTGTGGTCCTTTTTATTATGTATATGCTGGAGTTTGGTTGTAAAATAAGCCATGAGTTGGTTATGTGGTTAGTTAATTCTGTTAGGATAATGTTAGAAATTAGTTAGGAGGTTAGCAGGGTGGTTAACAGAAATTCTGTTTTGGAAGTTAAGATGCAGTTTTTTGTTATATCAGTTTTGGTTGTTGTTAGTTATGTTGTTTATGGTTAGAAGGTTTGAGAGTTTGTTATGAATTGGTTATGGAAAGTTGGTTATAGTTAGAAGTTAGGAGAAAGTTAGTTATGAATCTGTTAGTTTTGGTTGGTTAATGAAGAAATCAGTTAGCAGTTAGTTATAAATTATGGTGTAGTAAGTTACTGTGTTATAAAATTTATGTGCAGGACTGCCTTTATTTTTTTGGGTTACGGAATTGGTTTTGACAATTGGAAGTGTAGTGTATGCGGTTCATGCTTATGACAGTTTTTCCAATATTTTTGCAGGTTTGGTTCATATCAGGGCTATTGGGAAGCAAAGGCAAAAGGAAAACACCAAGACGATATGAAGTTGGAACAAAGACGCATAACACGAAGTTTTGGAAGCTTGAAGTTTGAAACATGAAGAATGATTGAAAATTAGGATAGGTTTTGGTAAAAATGTATAGATGTTATGTATAATTGTAATGGAATTTGGACTCGTATGTATTTGAATACACATTGGAATGTATGTTGACTTTATTTCCACATAATGAAATGGCCTTTGTATGAATTCAAATAAATGGTATGAATCCAAAATATTTGCAAGGTAATCAAAAGAGACATGAATCTTGAATGAATCCAAGAGAGGCTATTTGGACAATATTTTGATGGTTGGATGAATTTGATGCATGCTTTTTCATACTTGTGGTTTGAATTCCAAGAAAAGCCACGCAAATATTTAAGAACTTTGATTTTCTCCAAATCCACTTCAATTATTAATGAATGAATCTTAATCAAACTACAGCTTCAGTGAATCCCTAATTCAATTCAATTTTCCGATCTAAACCAAATTTGCATGTCAAGCAATAAGCATTTGAAATAATGACACCTTGATCACAATCAACATCTTGTACCATGTCCCGACTATATGAGCACTAGAACAACGACGTCTTGGACCCCTTCCCAATAGATGATAATGACTATGCCCTGAGGGATCCTTTGCAGATGAATATGAAAGATGAGACATGCGAATACCTTGATATGGAATGAACCTCAGGTAGAATGCTGACAAGCTCAAGTATGAAAATGTATAACCCTGATTTTTAGCTTCGTCTCATAAAACCTTGCAACTTGACATTGAGAAGAAAAGAATAGCCTCATAGCTTGATGATGATAAAGTCCATGAAATGAAAACCTAGCTTCAAACAAATTGTTAATGGAGAAATCAACCGAAACAGGCTTGTGCGAAGATGGGAGCCTTAGAGCCATTCACCAACCCTTATTCCTCGAAATCCATGATCTTATGCCAATTTATCAATTAATGATGCATGATGTGTTAGATGACCTAATGAAAATTATATATGTGAGAAAAATGCAAAAATGCGTAAGCCAGATAAAAGTAGAAGGGTAGGACAAATTTGGGGTATTACAGTACCTTACCACTTTCCGTATTACACTTAAGTGCACCGTACCTTACGGTGTTCCTTATTTATTCTATCTCTCATCAACCTGTCCTTATGTGTGTGACCCTGTAGGTTTTCGCGACGTTGGCAATTATATTAAATCACACATTTAATATAATAAACAGTGAGATGTATCTAGCAACACATCACTGTTACCCAAGTCACGAAAATGTCATGTGATCTGACCAAACCTTTTCCATGATAATATTTGTGTTGTACAATTACCCTTTTGCCCTCATGTCTATATTGAACACAAGGCATACACTGTGTCACCCTTGTCCAGTTCAATATTGGGCCCTTAGACATTTATCCTGTTATGCAGGAAGAGCAAATTCCATCTAGGTCACTCATGTCCCTTAGCATGCTTTGTGAATTACCCATCAACCGTCTTTATAGTCATCCAGTTACGGATGATGTTTGATCAGCAATAAAGTACTTGACTCTACATCTAGGGTCCATAGTGGTTTCAGGTCGAAGGGTGGTATACACCATTATCATCATGAGAATAACTTATGACACTTTGCATAATATTCTATGTAGTATTCTCATAGTGGGTGTTGGCTCCTAAATTCGACACCTATGCTTTGATCTATGTCAGCCATTAAAAGATGAAAGATGCTTTCGACTGGCTGAGTCTGTTGAAGTGCCCGTCGAAAGATGGCAAAATACTTAGAAGATTTCTTCCAAGGAAGAAGGCTGATTGCCTTCGACGTCGAAGGAGTTTTCGTCGAAGACGTCTCTTGATGAAAGTGTTCGATGGTCCAGAGTGGAACAGTTTGAAATTCAAAGCTTTGGAGGGAAAACGGTTTCCAGCAGTTACTACGTGCAAACGTGCAAGGATCTGGAGCGTCGAGCATGGAGAACGTGCCAAGTGGCTTGATCTCGAAGCAGTGTAACTGCCCGACGGTTACTTGGAATGTTTTTGTATAAATAGGAGTAGACATGTAGTTTCTCGCGTGTGTTCACAATCATATACATAGTCACTCATTTAGATTCAAGTACCCAGTGTGAGCGAAAGAATTGTTGAGAAATGTATGTGTGAAACACCAATTTTATCAATTAAAGTCATTTACTTTCCCAGCATTTTTACTTGCTTTTCTCCTTTAAATTCCTGTCGAACCTTTACTTTAAAGCCTTGTTTATTTTACCAAGCCTTTCCTTTATGCAATTTACTTGAAACCTTTTATTTAAAGCCTTATCCAACTTAATCAAACTTCAAAATCAACCTATGTCCATAAGATCAATCTGATCGATCCTGCGAGTAACCAAATAAGTAACCATTTGGAGGATCAGCGGTTGTTTACCAAAACCCAAGGTAAACAAATTGGCACACCCGGTGGGACTGTGTGTTGATTGTTGAAAATAATCTCATCTTTTCGAGTTGTATGTTATTGAGGAGTGGTAGAATATACACTAACGATAACAATACTGCCAGAAGAAGGGGAGAGATGGCGAATCCGCCAAACAGTAATGAAATCCCACAAACAAGTGTGGGAGCAACGGTTAATATGACCGTAAGTGAAGCGACGAATGTTGGTTCGACACCAGCAGTGTCAGTCACAACCACGGGGCCAATAACTTCGTTAACGGGCCCCAGAATACCTTTGGGAACTCCCCCACCAAGGGGAAATATAGGCACAAGGCCTGTGGTTCCCCCAGGATTTATTCCATTCTATGGTATGCCAACTTCTGAAGTGGCAAGCCTAACGAATGCTGCGTCCACTTATTCAGACCCCTTCGTGAGTGCCTCTTCGCCACTCCAAGGCTCTGGAGTAGGCATGGCGAATAGAAATAGGACCCAACTCTTAGGAGGAACGTCCCAAGTAGCCCATGGCCTTACAAATGCCTCGACAGCAGTCTTGAGGCAACAGATGGACGAAAGCAACCATGATATGGTGCAAATGTTGGCACAAACTTTGAGTACAGTGCTAAACCCTCTAATACAAAATACTACTCAATCGAATCAGCAAGTTACAGCGCAAATGACGCGTTTGGCTGACTTCTTTGGAGTACCCCCACCTATTCGACAGCCCCAAAGGGCGCAAATAAGGGGAAATCAGGGGATATTTGTAGAGGAAGAAACCACCATTAACCAGGCCCAACAGCCTGTCGAAGAAAACCTTAGGGCACGGTTGGAACAACCTGTCGAAGAGCCTAGGGTAATAGCCCCAGAGGTAAGGTTAGTTAACAGAAACCAAAATGCTGACGAAGTGGTTCAGCATATCCAATACCAAAACATGGGTTTGGAAAACAATCTGGCAACCATGATCGAAAGGATCATGACTCAGAATGGAATGAACATGGGCTTTCGAAGGCCCAACTTTACATCTCCATTGTCAGAATATGTGTTACAAACGGATTTACCTCCTAGGAGCAAAGTCCCCAAATTTACTAAGTTCTCTGGGGACACGACAGAATCTACTGTCGAACATGTGGCGAGGTATTTGATCGAAGCAGGAGACATTTCAAATAATGAAAACCTAAGGATCAAGTACTTCCCAAGTTCCTTAACCAAGAACGCTTTTACTTGGTTCACAACTCTCCCCCCCAATTCGATCCATCATTGGACCCAGTTGGAAAGATTGTTCCATGAACAATTCTATATGGGGCAAACCAAGATAAGCCTGAAAGAACTGGCCAGTGTGAAGAGACGTTTCACTGAACCTATAGACGAATATCTGAATAGGTTTAGGTTGCTTAAGGCGAGATGTTTTACACAAGTGCCAGAACATGAGTTGGTCGAAATAGCCGCAGGCGGTTTAGATTATTCCATTAGGAAGAAGCTAGACACCCAGTACCTAAGAGACATGGCCCAACTGGCCGATAGAGTTCGACAGGTCGAACGCCTCAAAGCTGAAAAAGCTAAGGCAACGAAAACTCACAAGAGAGAAAGAATAGCATACGTTGAGATGGATGATGAAGATCTAGAATCTTTCGACGATACTTTAGCTGTCGAAGAAGGAGAAGTCGATTTAGCAGAACTAAAACAAGGGCCTCCATACTCTTGTAAACTGTTAGTCCCCTCAAATGGAAAAAATCCCATTGGTCCAGACAGGACCAACGATAGGTTCCCAAAGAAGACTTATAGTTTTGACATCACAAAATGTGATGAAATATTCGACTTGCTAGTTAAAGATGGCCAAATGATAGTACCCCCTGGGGTAAAAGTGCCTCCTCTTGATCAAAGAAAGAAGAGAGGTTTTTGCAAATATCATAATTTTCTGGGCCATAAAACTTCTCAATGTTTTCTTTTCAGGAATCTTGTGCAAGACGCTATTGAGGAAGGGAGATTAAAGTTTGCTGACAAATCCCCCATGGCTGTCGACTCCAATCCACTGAAGGCTGAAGCCCACTATGCAGAACCCTCTGAGGTGAACATGATAGAGGCAACCAGGATCCAGTCGAAGAAGCCAGGAATTACTATGGTCGAAGTCTCAAAGGACCACATCAACATGCCAATCTTTGGCAGTTTTTCTGGAAACTTATCCAGGAAGACAATTGAAGCTGTCCAGAAAGCGGTCGAAGACCCGAGGTCGAAGACTGCTGAAGCACAAAAAACTGGATCAAAGCCCAGTTCCCACTTGGCCACTGTTCAAGGCCAGACGGAGAATCTGGAGACACAAATGAAGCAACTAACTCTTGCTACTAAAGATACAATGAATATCAACATGGTTGAACTCTCTGGCCCAAAAGCTTCAGAAGAGGCCATAAGGCAAGAGCAGGCTAATAAAACGGCTTTCCCTAGGGAAAACGAAAACTTGGCAGATTTTTTACAAAGATGCCAGAAAAAGAAATCAGAAGTAATGCTGTGTCCAAGATGCAGTTCAATCTTTGATAAAAAAGCTGCTGAGCACATTCAAGGCGTGAGAGCAGCGAACAAGAGAAGGGAGAATGCTGACCTTCGACATGATCCCAGAAGGGGTTCTAATCAAGACAAGAGGCCATTGACTTTTA